CAAGCAGAGATTGAAAAATGACAAACTATGATAACTATTAATTTGTTACCTTTAACCACAGGTACAAGATTTATAGTTATAAAACAAAATATAAGACAAACTAGAAAATTATATATACTAAATATACACTCAATAGAGCAATTTTACCATTAGGGGAGAAAATTAAAAAATAATAGGAAAAAACAGAGAAATAAAAGATGAGAAAGAGATTAGAAGCAAGGCTGAAGGCCAAAGGAAGATTATCCAAGCCTCAAGAAACTGTGAAGACAGGAGGGAAAGAAAGAAGAAAAAACCCAGAAACAAGAACAAAACTAAACTAAAATCAATGTTCATGCTCATGAAAAAAAAAAAAAAAAAAGCAAACAATCAGAAAAACCTTGAAATTTTTGGTTATTAATTTTATTGCTACATTTTAGGTATACAATATAATGACACTGATCATTGGGAATTTGCACCATTACATAAGCTATCTTGGTTCTTATTTTTTCTCCATTCCCCTGGTCTCCCTTCAACTCCTCTGGCCCTCCCAATTTACAAAGTCTTTGTTTCCATTTTTCCATATTAATTCCATTCCCTTCTTTCCTTTTCCCTACCCCTCTCTTTCCCTTCCCCTTTGCCCCATTTCTTACTATTTCACATTAGCTATTTTACCTTCTGCTCCTTATTTACACTTTGTTTCTCACAGCAGAGAAATGATTCTATATGTACAGATGAGTCTCAATTATTTAACTTGAGAGTACTGCCTCAATGTGCATCCATTTAGCTATAAATGTCTCTAATTTCTCATTTTTCATGGCTGAGTAATATTCCATTTTTTTAAAAAAACACATTTTCTTTATCCAGTCTCCAGTTGATGGGCAATTGGGCTGTTTCCAAATTTTAGCTATCATAAACTGTGCTGCTATGAACATGGGTGCACATATTTTGCTGTGGTATGATTCTTTTAATTCTTTAGGGAAGATACCCAGTAGGGGAATAGCTGGGTCAAATGGGACTTTCAATCCTAGTTCTTTGAGGTATTTCCATACTGATTTCCACAGTGGTTTCACACTCCCACCAGCAGTGGAACAGGGTTCCTCTTTCCCCACAGCCTCACCAGCATTTGTTATTGATTTCATGATAGCAGCCATTCTTTCTGGGGTGAGGTGGAATTTCAGCACTGTTTTCATGTTTATTTACTATCTACTACTTTTAGAAATGTCTGTTCATTTCAGATACCCATTTTTGGATTGGGTCTTTAAATTTGGGAGATCTGATTTTTGTAAGTTGTTAATATATTCTAATGCTGATTTTTTTTTTTCCTATTCTTTTTGGTACCAGGGATTGAATTCAGGTCCTTCAACTTGCAAGGCAGGCAGTGTAACCACTGAGCTAAATCCTGTTTATATATTCTAGATAGTAGACCTTCCATGTATGTTCATTAGTGAGATTGGACTATACTTCACTTTTTCAGTTGGGGGGGGATCAATGGGATGCTTGCTTCCAGGAAATGAATTTGGGAGTATTGCCTTCCTTTCCATTTCATTAAAGAGTTTAAACAGTGGTGGCAACAGTTCCTCTCTAAATGTCTATACAATTCAGCAGTGAAGCCGTCAGGGCTTCAAACTATAACCTTTTTATAGTTGGTAAATTTTTAATTACATTTTCAATTTCATTGATTGATATTGTGATGTTTAGAATTTTAAATCTTCATTACACTTTGGTAATTCACACATATCTAGGAATCTGTCCATTTATTCTGTTTTCCATTTTACTGGCATATAGATTCCCAAAATTTAAACTTCTGTTCTTTATAAATGACTCAGTGTTTTGTTAGAGCAATAGAAAACAGACTAAGATGATGAAGACTCTGGGCTCAGAGAGGCTAGCAAAGATGCCCTGGGCTCAGTGGTGTGAGGTCACTTCAAACGCAGGTACATCTACCTTTAAAGTGTGTGTGCTAAGATAGCCTACTATGGATGTCTGCAGGATCATGCTTCACTCATGTAGGGCTCAGAATCTTGGGACAGGAACTACCCTGCTGAATCCCAAACAATGGTAAATACGGGAGAACTCATTCACAGGTGCTGAGATGCTGGCCATTCATAAAATGCCCTATGTCTGTGAATGGGTGTGCATATGTGTGTGAACACTGCCTGAAAAGCCCAAGAGGTGCAGGCCAACAGATGTCAAGCAAATAAGATCTGGCATCTTCTAGACAAGTGTTTCCTGTCACCTCCCAGCCTGAGAGGGTAGTGAACTGCTGTCCTGGGTCAGTGTGAGAGGACTCCTTATCAGAGAACATGCTCTCAGGAGAAAAAGGCTGGGACTGTGGAGCTTCCCTGGGAGAAGTGAAGACTCTAGGGAAAGTAGGCTTCTCCTGTCCTGCAGGCTGGACTGGTGGCCTAAGACATTATATTGAATCGTGGTTTGCAGGTGATGCCTGAAGGGTCACTTATCATCTGCTGAAACAGGTTAGTGTCTTGATGTCAGAATACACCGGCATTCTGTCAGTTAAAATTTATATTCACTCTGTTTGTTCAATCTTGACATAACTCCCGTTTAACATCCACCCTGCACATTTCCAGGGTCTCAGGGGGCATTTGGCCACATGTTTAACACTGCATATATGGTTTGCATTTGTACAGCTTGGCAGCATCCAGTGAGGGCACTGAAGGGGGAACTTCTCAAAAGCCTGTAGCCACGGCAAACAGCTGTGGAGGGGAGAAAGAGAACAGTCTGGACCCTAGTCCCTTGTGGTAATATCACTGGCAAGAGTGATAAAGGAGAAGCATGTGCACATGATGCTGGTTTGAAAGCAGATTTGGTAAGCTTGGCACTTTCACAAACAATAATAAATGTCAATGGAAAAAAATCATAATCAGACAGAAACAAAATATATTTATTAGAAATATTACAGTCATACATCTTATACTTTCATGTTAAGTTAAATACATCTATGTTTGCATGTCATATCCTGACAATGCTTGGTGCAATCTAGTGTGCTCTTCGTAGAAACGAGGCCACAGATGTATCAACTGCATTCAACTAATATAGTTAAAATTGGTGAGCTACTCGGGATGTTACAGATTCAGCAAAACTCCAACCTGGGTCAGAAGACTGAAATACCCAATGAACTTGGGCAATATAGATATTAAAAATACCTTTTGTTTGTGAGACAGGATCTCACTATGTAGTTCAGGCTGGCTTTAAACTCACTATGCAGCTCATGCTGGCCTTGAACTCATGGCGATACTCTTGCCTCAGCCTTGCGAGTGCTTGGATTATAGGCATGTGCCACCATGCCCGGTCTAAAAATTTTTAAACAAAGGCTGTGAGGTTGTATCTTTTACTGCATGTGACTGGTAGGGCATCTCAAAATGGGACTGGAACTGTGGGATGGAAAGAACTAACTGCTGGAGGTGGCAGGTGGGTTTGACACAGCTGCCCTTCCATGGGAAATGGAGAGGGCAGAGATGAAAGGCTCAGCTGATGTTAGGGGGTGGCAGGAAAGAGAAATGGCAGATATTTGTTAGTGCTGGATAGCTAATCACTTTGGAACTGGTTTTTTTTTGTTTGTTTTTTGTTTTGAGATGGGATCTTACTATGTTGCCCAGGCTGTCCCCAAATTCCTGGGTTCAAGTGATTCTCCTGCCTCCGTCTTCTGAGTAGCTAGGACTACAGATGTGTTGTACTAGGCTCCATGGGACATGTCATTCACTCATTTAGTATTTAATTTGGATGGTTCCTATAAAAACTACAAATCAACAGCAGAATGAAGAACAACAAAAGATCAATATTGTTTTTGAAGTGGCAAAAGGACAAGGGATACATTTCTCAGAATACTGTTGCTCAGAATACCCTATCAATCAGTCAGCCAACATGCAACCCATGAAGCAACTCAACTGCAAAAAACCATGGACTTCTCCTTAAATCATAACTCCCCAGGATCCTCCATTTCACAGCTATCTTTTAGATAAAAATTATATATTAAAAATGTATCTGCAGAACCACCAAATAATTTTAACAAGTACCAGCAGAATGGAGAAGGGAAGAGACACATAGTTGTTGTAGCATCTGAAAACCTCAGGACAGACACCTGGGAAGGTAGAGTTGGCTCAGGAGAAGTAAAGAAATATAAGCACGCTGTTTTTTCATTTTACTGATTTTCCACATTCAGTTTTGTGCTCTGAGCTCTCCCCTGATCCTACACTGCCATGGCCAGCTGGCTGGTGCCTCAACTCAGGGGAGCTGGTGGTGCTAGAGGGCCTGGACCTTAGTCCCACCCCATCAGCTTCACATCCAAACCCTGACAATACCTGTTTCTGTGGGCAGGACGCAGCATTCCTCTTCCACATCTCTTAGCAAAAAGAATGGCAGTTGAGGAGGGTCCTTGTGTCATAAGAACAAACTGCACATGGTCTTCCACTGATATGACACTTCGTTTTTTCTTTTCAACCTAAAGGGAGTAGGTACAGGTAAGGAGAGATGGGTCTGGCCAGTCACTGGCAATGTGGGTTTGTACTGGATGGGGTGGGTGCCTGAGGGAAACTGTGTCCAGCATAGAGATTGCTTTTTGCACAGCTCCATCTAGATCCTTTACATGTCACCACTGAAAACCAGCATCAACCAAGCTAAATATGTCTCAGGGAATCCCAAGACCTCAACCATCTCACTCACACAAAAGGGTGGTGATCCTATGTTCTGTGGCGCACATATGATTTTAGGACAAAAGATATTAATGTATGAGTTGTATTTTTAAAAACTAAAACCTCAGTATTCAGGTTTAACTGCAGTTGGCACTTTGTGATAAATAAATGAGTTTTGGGATGCAGTTTGGGGACTTGGTCTCTAACAGGTTCGCCATCACTGCCTTAGGGAAATCCCAGTTTAAATACAACCATTAGTTGACTAACGCAGTGGCTTAGGATAGTACTTCTCCCTACTTGGGCAAAGTAGAAGCTTGGAGACAGTGAAGACATAGCATCAGTTATGTCAACAAAAACAGGTAGGGGAAGCAACACAGGTAACACTCTCATTTGGATACATTCATCAGGAAGGAACAAGCTACGTTTGTTTCAAATGAGTCTTCTCTGTGAAAACAAAGGGGCCAGTTACATAATTAATACTGGTCCCCAAAAAAGCTGCTCAGTAGCTTCTGCTACTCTAGTGCCACAGGGCTGCCCAGGAAAGACAGTCTCCCCTCTGTGTGGCTTGCACCAGCATCCCAGAGCACTCTGAGCATGTACAGATTGTACAGATACTCAGACTCACCTGACTGGGCAGGTCAGGCTCATGGTTTCTAGCTCTCCACCGGATTCAGACACTGAGTCAGAGCTGAAAACGACAGACATAGCTGGAAAGCAGAGGCTGTAGCCCTGCATCAGTTGAAGCAGCTTGAGAATCAGGGCTGGCCTGCCCAGCAGGGCCCGGCTGCCACCTCTGCCAAGAGCTAGCCTGGAGGAGAGGACAAAGCCCATGTGATTCTCAGCACAGGGTCCGAAACTGCAGCCCCTAGACCTGGCTCTGAACATGTGGCTCAGGCCAACAGAGATTCACTTCAAATAATTTTGGCAGTAATTGTAAATCTAAGGATTTATTCATATGACTTTTTGTCAGACAGGCATGAACACAATGCTATTTGGCACTTAAAACAGCAAGTGGTGGGCATTTACCCCAACTACCTGTGAGACAGGCATCCTCATCTGCTATGAATGCACATTTCTTTGCCCAAGGAGAATACGAGAGAGCCAGCAGTCAGACACCCGGGCCGAGCACTCTGGGGAAGGTCCTGCTGCTACTTAGGGAAACTAGTAGAGTATCAGGGAAAACTGTGTTGAGTTACAAATGGAGCCAGCCTTGCCCACCCTTAAGGGCTTCTTTTTGCCATGCAAATGTGAAAGGCCAAATGAAGTACCAAAAACTGTGTTTGTCAAGAGCTAAAATGTTGTTTAGATTTGCTGTCTGGCCAGAATCCCCAGATACACATCCTTTACCTTTCTCAGGCTTCCAACAAAGGGAATTATGCAAATGAGTGAGGATCACAACAGACACAGGATATTTCACACACACAAGTGGCCGTTGGTCAGGTTCTACATGTGGAACAAACGTGTGGGTATGAATGGGAGTCTTAAAAAGTGGAAGGAAAAAAGCCACTGCAGACAGTTCCTGGGGTTTCCCTTCTGGCCCTGTGAACCACACACTACACACACTTCCTGCTGAGAGCATCTCACAGGGACCATTCAGCAAGGAACCTGGGGCTCCTTTGCACATCCAAAGACTCAAATAAGAGACTGTGGGACCTAAAAATGTAATCAAGTTCTAGGTGTTAAAATTGCTACTTGAACTTGATCATATTTCCCCCAAAGAGCAAGGCCAACATGTTTCCAGGCTGCTCTGAATAAAAGATTTTTTGTGTTTTGTGGGGTATTGGGTTTTTCTTTGAGGGGGTGGCAAGGGCAAAGTTTTTATAAAAGCAAGAGTTACATTTTTTTTTTTTAGTGAAAAAACAAAAAAAAAGACTAGCTTGGAGGTGCTGTTTGTCATGAATCTCTGTGCAGATTATACATCAAGCCATCAAATGGGATTGGCAATACTGTTGTGGGTTCTCACAGAAATGTGCCCAGGTAGGGGATCTTGGTCTAGAAAGAGGGAGGCATCTTCTGCAGAACCTTCCACAAGAGCAAAAACTCCCCAACTTATCCTCCAATGGCATTTGCATTTGCAATAGTGACATGGTGAAACCAGCCTCTGTTTCTTATTTGAGTGTTGATCCATTTGACTTGAGCCTTCCTTGGAAATCCAGACGGCTGGGCAGCAGACAGAGCTGGGTCACTGGACAGTGACCAGGTGCTTCCAGGACATACGCAGATGGCAGTGGCTGATTTCAGGCCCCTGGGTTTACGTCTCAAAGTACTTGTAGATCTGGGCCACATACTGCATCACGCTCTGCCAGTCAGGCCGGTCTGTGTATAGCATCTCACTGAGCTCCTGTTAGGGGAAGGGGTCAAATCACAAAGGATACATCACAGGGCTTATACTGCCTGGAAACACCCCCACACACAGAAGTTGGAGGCAAACACCTGGTGCTGAATGCTCCAAGTTAAAAAGAAAAGACTTTTCATCCTATTTAGGAGGCGGTGTCCTTTTTAAAAGATGCAAGACACAACTGACCTTGTGTCGTTTTTATCTTTTTTTTTTTGGATACCGGGGATCGAACTTTGGTCCTTGCACTTATGAGTCAGGCAGTGGAACTACTGAGCTAAATCCCTGGCCAGTGTTGTTCAAAAAAGTTTTACAAACAGTTACCCATAATTTCACTAACAGAAAATTGTTTCTACCTTTCTAAATTAAATATAAGTAAATTAGCCTTCAATTTCCCAGACTTCCATCACAGGGAACACACTTTAATGTACTCTCTGCTTTTTCACTGGACATTTTCAGACATGATTTCCATGCTGTTGCACTGTTTCACTGGCTACCACGTTTGTGGATTCACACTGTCTGAGCGAGGTGCTAAGCATCATGGATATGATAAGTAGTTTACAGACTTTTCAATAATCATCTCCATGCAGCCTTGTCTCTTGGTGAAGGAGTCCCTTAAGAGGAATTCCTAAAAATGAGGCTACCAGACTTTGAACATTACTCTACGAGCATTAAATGTTACCATGTTTTTCTTTTGCTCATCCAGTAATTTTCTTTGCTATTTATTTTTGCTTCTTCATTTTTTTCTTTTTCTCTGCTAATTCTGTAATGAAGCTTGCACTAAACAAACATCAGATAGAGGCCAGAAGGTGACAGGCAAGAGGGCTGGGCTCCCTGCAGAGTCCTCAGTAAAGCTTTTTGGAAATTTGTGTGCTAACCATCACGTTTAATAATTAACTTTGGGATTGAATTTGGATTCTTTTGTAGTCACAAGAGAACAGTAGCAAAGAACCCTGGTATAAAGCCAGAAACGGAGATGCAGTGGAATAATAAGGCTGAATGGAGCACATCTGTTTCTGGGCGGTGACACAACTTGCTGAGGCTGTTAACAAGTCATTTATCCTCTGATTCAACAATATCTGAATACATATTTTACCCATTCTGCTCTGTGGTCACACTAAAAATTGTCAGCTTATCACTTTTCATGGGGGAAGCATAAAAAAGGGGCAAGTAGAAAACTTATACATAGATATGCCTACAAACAACTTTGAATGGAAAAAAAAACCCCAAACTGTCACAAATTACAAGTGCCCAAAGTCTCTTTCCACTTACAGCACTGTAGTCAGGACCCTGCACAGACTAATATATAATAAGCTAGAATTAGTAAAAGAGAGTTGCTAATAACATTAGGAAAAAAAAGTGGTAAAGACTGAGTATGCTTATTCAGAGGTGGCTAAATTCTGGGTAAAGAAGGGAAGCCTACACATTCAAGAGAGATGTCAAACTTTCTACAGGAGAAGGATGTGCCTTCAATCTCAGAGAGGATTTGGAAGTCCAATCAATATTCACAGTTTTACTCAGAGGATTTTATACTAGCAACAAGTGGAGGAAAAATATTTTAGTACATTGTTAATTTAACCTTTGAAATTTTTTAAAGAAATAATTTTTCACATTTCAGAGTAGAGTAAGTCATATTAATAAAATCTTAAAACGCATGTCACTTGTTTGCATGAGTAGGCAAAAATCACCATATGACTTCACTGGTGAATTCTACCAAATATTAAGAAAAAAATAATACCATTTCTATATGATTTCTTCCAAAAAACAGAAGAGGAGGAGAAAACAATTCATTCGAGGAGGCCATAATTGCTCAAACAGCAGAACCAGACAATAAGAAAAGAAAATTACAGATAATTTCACAGATACAAAAAATTAACAAACTGTACAAATATTAACAAGTTGAACCTATTCATCTATAAAAGTATAATACATCATGATCAGCTCATTCCAGGAATGGGAAGCTACTTCAATATTTGTAAATCAATATAATCCATCATACTGACTAAATAACAAAAAAGATCATATCAACAGATAAAAAATATTACTCAAAATTTAAAAACTATTCATGATAAAAACTAAGAATAGAAGAACTAACTCACATAGATAATCATAAAAAATACATTATTTTATATTTTTGTTTTATCTGGAAACATACAATATACTTATTTGGCCACTGAATGAGATTGGACCAAGGCCTTTTATTTACACATGGTCTGATGTTGGGATCTGGAGGCACCTTTCTTGCAAAAGTCAGACCCAGGATACATGGTCTAGAATACTTCAATTAATTTGTTTTTCCCCCTAATAAAAAAAAAACAAAACAAAAAACGACAACTTAAAAAGCTGGGCCAAGTGGTGCACACCCATAATCCCAGCACACTCTGAGGCAGGAGGATCACAGGCTTGAGCACAACCTGGGTCATTTAGGGACCAACTTAGCAAGACAATGTCTCAAAATTGAAAATAAAAAAGGCTGGGTTCATGCAGTGTGAAGGATCTGAGTTCAATCCTTACTACCTGAGGAGGTGAAGGGATAAGGTAAGGGGAAAAAGAAACTTGTGAAGCAAACTGAATGAAGAACCTTTCTACATGTTTATAACTCCTTCCCACCTTTTTGTTTTGTTTTTGAGATGGTCTCACTATGTAGTTTGAGCTAGTGTTAAACTTGTTATATAGCCCAAGCTGGGCTTGAATTTGCAATCCTTTTGCCTCAGCCTCCTGAATGCTAGGAGGCATGCACCATCATGCTAAATATGCTTCCAAACTTTTCAAATAACACTTTCCATATGAAATATGGCATAAATACAAAAAAGATAAATTTATAATTTAGTGGACTATGATAAAGCAAATATGTACAATCATCTAGGTTTCCAACCTGCCTCATCAGGTTTCCATGTGTATCTTTCAGTCTTGTGCATCATGAATTTGACAAGGAGAAGAAAGTTTCTATAGTCCATGTAAAGTTTATTCTGATCTTAACCCTGGTTAACTGTAGATACAAAGTACTCTGCAACAGGTGTGTCAGCTCTGACACAGAAATGATTCTCCAATGTGGTTTGGTGTGGATACTATGGGATGGATTAGCGTAAGATACTGAAGAGACAACAAATAAAATGGAAAAGAAAAAAGCTCTAGCCAGAATGCAAATGAACTTGATTTGGAAAATACTAAGAATTTCCTCAATACCTTGGTAATGAACTTGTTACGGGTATATTCATGTTCATGCCAGCACTATTCAAAATAGCTAAAATATGGAAACAACTCCAGCATCCATAACAGATGAACAAAGTTGTATCTACACACAACAGGACACTATTCAGCCTTGAAAAGGAACGAAAACATGTTAAACATGGACGAACCATTGTCAACCACGATCATAGTATTATGCTCCATTAAATAAGCCAATCACAAGGATAAGCACTCTGTGACAAGTATCACTCATGTGACACACTTGAAATAGGTAAATTCTTTGAGACAGAAAATAGAATGGTGGTTGCCAGGGGGTAGGGATGGGGAATGGGGAGTTTATGTTTAATTGGCACAGAGTTTACTTTTACAAGATGAAAAGAATTCTGGAGATGGTAATGGATGCCTAATGATGTATTGGTGGTTGCCAGGGGGTAGGGATGGGGAATGGGGAGTTTATGTTTAATTGGCACAGAGTTTACACTTTTACAAGATGAAAAGAATTCTGGAGATGGTAATGGATGCCTAATGATGTGAATGTACTTCAAACGTAAAAATGGTGAATCTTATGTGTATTTTACCACAACAATAACAATGCTGGGTGTGGTGGTGCATGCCAGTAATCCCAGCACTCAGGAGGCTCACACAGGATGACTGTTGTGAGTTCAAGGTCAGACTGGGCTACATTAGTGAGACTCTGTCTCAAAAAAAACCCAACTCAACCCAAACTAAACCAACCAAAAACTGTTGGTATTACTGACTTACAAATAAAAGGTTTATTAAGTATTTTTAAAAGACAACTTGGGGAAAAAGGTAAGGCTTTTTGTACTTGGGAGCTCATAGTCTTATGGAGTTGTTGAGGGGATGAATCTATACAATTAGGTGAATTATATAAAATAGGAAATGTGGATATAGTACTATGAATAAATTGTGCTTTAAGAGCCCAGAAGGTGGATACAATTATCAGGGATGGAGGGTCACTGAATGGATATCCACATGGGCTTTAGAGCCAGTCTGCCTGGCTGACTTTTGCCTTTGCTAATCATTAGGAATGTCATCTTCTATGAACTGCATACGCCTCTGTGTTCCACTCACACAGAGCTTCCATCTCACAAGAGTCCTGAGAGGCTCTAGTGGGTCAATACATGGGAAATGCCCATATCATAAAGAGGAGAAAAATGTTTCTGGTGTGAATATTTAGGCTGAAAATAACTACTGAGATGCACGTGATAAAGTTTATACCACAACATAGGCTGAATCATGCCAAAGGCATCACTCCAATATTGTGGGCCCTGAAGAGCTTGGTATGTGCACAGTGACTGTCCTGGGGTGGTACCAGGTTAATCAGTGAGCAACAACCTTCAGGGAACAGATGACCAATGCAGCACTGTTGCCTTACCAAGTCACAGGCACATCAGTCCTAGAGGTCAGACCTCCTGGCTTTTCTAGTGATGATGACAGTTATCCTCTGTCACCCAAGGCTTTCTGTAAGGAAGTGCTCACCCCTGTGATTGTTCATCCAGCACTACAATCAATCAACAAACTGCCTCATTACAGAGTGGCTAAGAAGGGATGCTTTCTAAGAGGTGGGGAACACTGTAGACCTCCAGTTTTTAAGCTCATCCTTTCTAACTGGCTATACCTGGATATTTAAATGTACACACACACACACTACTTCCTACAAAATCTAACGTCAGAATTTGAATATGGGGGGCCAGGGATTTAGCTCAGTGGTTCCGCCACCTGCCTAGCAAGTGCAAGGACCCAAGTTCGATCCCGGTACCAAAAAGAATTTTAATATGGGATTGAATACAGTTGTCACTTCTGACCCGGTATAGTTTGAAAGTATCAAGTGTAACTCAGTACGTTTTTCAATTCACATCAAGATACTGAAAAGCAGGGCTGGGGGTGCTGCTCAGTGATGAAGTACATAGTGAAGGCCCTAAGCTCCATTCCCAAAATCAAAGGGACAAAAAGATACAGAAAAGCATACTAAAGAATGCAGGAATTTCTATTTTGCTGATGGTAAAACTGGTTAAACTGCTCACAAGCATTCCTGAATGCTTTTGAGATTAATTACATTTGTCAGCAGCAACTCAACTATCCTTACAAATGAAATTGCTGGCTCTGCCAACTAGGTCAACATGACGATCTCACTCTATTCCCATCACCAACTTCTAGAGTATATTAGATGAAAATCTAAAAATAACAAGTTATGAAAGAAACAAATATTAAGTACAATGCTATAAAGAAAAAATCTACATGTTCTCATTATGTCTTTGATTCTTATGAAAACCTTGTTTGGACTGGTTAGTTGGTATTTGTTAGCTGTTTTCTTGTTTCCAAAGTGAGTATAAATACAATACTTGGCTCTCGATGGTGGTCAGATATATTAGGCTTGCCATTCTTTAAATTCTCTGTACATAAATGATAGGAATATTTGTCTCATAAAGGTTTAATAGAATCTGGGCCTATTGGGATGTTGTTCATTTTTGTGTGAGTGACTAGACACAAAAATATGAATTAAAATTTAATAGTTAAAGTGCTATTTCTTTCATAGTAAACTATATTTAATATTTGAAGAAATGTGTTATTTCTCTAGGAAACTGTTCTGTTTCAAATTTATACTGGCATAACGTTGTTCACAGTACTAAGATTTCTATGACAGCTGTACTTTCACTTTCTTGGATTCTTCCCATACTCTGAGGTAATGGAATTGTATCTCACTATTGTTTCAGCTTAGATTTTTATGATCACTGATATAATGGAACACTTGAAATGTTTAGTACTCAGGCTGGGGATATACCTCCATGGTAGTTTTCTTAGCATTTTTGAAGCCCTGGGTCCATTCTGTAGCCCTACAATCAATCAAATCAATCAATCCAGTTTAGTGGCCATTCATGATCCTCCTTTGTAAGTTGTGATTTCTAGACATTGATAATTTTCACTGGGTTATCTTTTCATAACTGTTAGAAATTTTTTTTTATAATCAGTCTTTGATTTTTCTGTAGTTTCATTATAGTATGTCTGGATGGATATTTTGTTTTATTTATCCTGCTTCAGAGTCATTAAGAATACGTGAACACATAATATGTGGTTGGGTGTGGTGTTACATGCCTGTAATCCCAGCACACAGGAGCTGAGGTAGGAGATCGCCATGAGTTTGACGCCAGCCTGTGCTATATAGTAAGTTTAAAAGGCCAGCCTAAATTGCAGAGTGAGATACTGTCTCAAAAAAACCAAAACAAAACAAGAATATGTGGACTCTTGTATTTTATCATTCTGGAAACATATCAAGTATTATATTTTCAAATACAGTGGTACCTTGGTTCATGAACACTTTTGTTTGCAAACAATTTGGTTCACAAACAAGTGTTTTGCAAAATTCTGCTTTTGTTTGTGAACTGTGCACTGGGTGATGAACACAACTGTAGCTATCTTTCCTGCACAAACATGAATGTGGTCGTCTTTACCAGAATCATGGAATGAATCGAATTTGTGAACCAGGACACCACTGTATTGTTTCTCTTCCATTCCTTTTATCCTTTTCTTCTGGTATTCCCTCTCAACTCGGGAAATGGACATCACCTGATTTTCATTTCATTATCTTGAGCTCTGAAACTAGCTGGTTAACCCAACAGTCATTCCCAACCTCTCCCTCTCTTACCTGCTTCACTCTAAAAGAGGCTGAAAAACAATATATATTTATTTTCTCAAACACTTTCAGAGATGGGACAGTCATGTAACAGAGCACTGTCGATGAGCCCTCGGAAGCTGTTTGCTTTTCTTATCAGAGGGGAAGATTATAGAGTCTTGCTCTATTCTATCCCCTTTCTTCCTGTCTTGCAGGTAGAAGTGATGTCTGGGGCATGGCAGGCATATTCAACCACAGATGAAGAAGTATGGGGACAGAAAGCCAACATATTAAAGACTGGCGTGTAGAGAAGATACACTTCAGGTTCTTAAGTGGTGAATCAATCTGTAAACTACTTCTGGACAACTTATCTCTCTCTCTCTTACACACACACACACACACACACCACACAAGCCAGGTGCAGTGGCACATTCCTATAGTTCCAGCTGCTTGGGAGGCTGAGGCAGAAGGACTACAAGTTTAAGTATGGGCTACTTACTAAGACCATGTCTCAAAATAAAATGTAAAAAGGGCTGGAAATCAGTGGCACAGTACCCTTTGGTTCAATCTGCAGTACTGCAATCAGTTTGGCAACACACCTCATTAATTTCCAGTAGCTTTCTTTGACTCTTTTTCCAAGTTTCTCTTTTTGTATTGTACAATGTTCTTCCCTTATGGCTCCTATTCCTTCTTTCATCTCTTTAATATGTTTAAGCATAGTAGATATGAAGTCTCTTTTTAAAAAATCTCCAGTTCTAACAGATAATCCTCAGGGTTGTATCTATTAGCTAACTCAATAATTTTCTTGAAGGTTTGTAATTTGGGCTAGTGAATATATTTCTAGTGGCTGTTGTACTAGTGGGAGCTTCTTGAATCAGCAAATATAAGCTATGGGCTCCAAGAAGAACAGATATAAATTTAGACTCAAAATCTCATCTGGCACTTTTTCTTACGGGAGATTTTTACTTTCTGTCCACCTTCCTCTATCAAAAAAAAAAAAAAAACAACAACAAAGAAAAAACCCCAAACCAAACCACACCAAAACAACCACCACCACCACCAACAACAACAAAAACAAATCCAAGGTGGAGACAAACTCCCTTATTACTTCTCTAAATGTAGTTTAAAAAATTTCCATTTTCACTAAGAAGTGCCTCATGTTGTGAGCCTTGGTTTTATGCAGGGGTCTCAATATTAATGCTCTATTTAGGGGAGTGCAGGTACTTGTCTCTTATTTCTCTGTGGGTATTACATAAATCCTACAGGCCAGTGATGGTGAACCTTTTAGAGACCAGGTGCCGAACTGAACCCAAAACCCACATATTTATCACCAAATGCCAACACTGCAATATTGAGGTTTTAGTTTAGAAAAAACAACTCTACATTAACACCTTTGGTCTTAAAAGAAAAACACAATGGCCAGGCATGGTGGCACATGCTTATAATCCCAGCACTGGGGAGGCTGAGGCAGGAGGATCATTGTGAGACTGAGGCCAGCCTAGGCTACATAGTGAGTTGAAGGCCACCAGGAACTACATACATAATGAGAACCTGTCTCAAAAACAAAAAACTTACACAGTAACACTCATGCCATAGGTTTTCCACCACTGCAATAAGCCATTTGGGCCTATTAGGTATCTATTTACAATGAGCATTATGACACCATCTCCATTTCCACCCCTCGGGGTGCCATGTCTCTTATGGCTCTGTTTTTCACTTCATATTAAATTTCTGCCTTCTTATTATTTCTCATTCTTTCTTGAGAGGAGCTCAGCTATGTATTGATTTCCTTCCTTCTTCCCTATCTATCCTTCCTAGGGATTGAACTTGGGACCTTTGTACTGAGCTACATCCCCAACTCTTTATATATATATATTTTAATTTTGAGACAAGATCTCCCTAAGTTGCTAAGTTGGCCAGGCTGGGCGTCACTTTGCAATTCCTCTGCCTCAGCCTCCCAGAGTACTAAGATTATAGGCAACAACAGGGCTTTAATGGTAGTATTTCCAGAACTGAAATTTATCCATAATGAAATCTAATTAAAAGACTCTACTCAGATATGCGATCATACCAACTAGATAACTTTATATCAGAGATCATAAGTAAGAGGTATTCTGCAAATGGATTTCAGTGTTTTATAAGAAACTGTTTAATAAGTGGCATAAAGTTGTTTTTCATATAAATAGAATAACAAGATACAAAACAGAAAACTTACCAGGCTGGGTTTGATGCCTACACTTTCCGCTGCTTCAAACGCCAACAACAGATTCCTCTTCTAGGTTAAGAAGACAGAGACACCGGAATTATTAACTTAAAAAAATAGCTCTTACTAGGAAAGAACACAAAATGACACTCTGTAGTAGATTTTCTATTACAGTAAGTTCCCAAACTATGAACATTCAAGTCCCAAACTTTCACAGGTATACTGATAAGACTCACTTTGTTGGATACAAACAAATCCAATTTATGAATGTTCTCCTGGAATGGAACTCATTTGTAAGTCAGGGACTAACTGTATTATAAAAAAGTAATAAGTCAACTATGTGAACAATGGTTTCAGTTTAAGGAAAAGAAATTAAGGGGTGACGACTGTCACTGAAAATAATGTTATTGACACCTATCAGAAAAAAATTTAAAAATTATTTTGTTTTTTGAGATGGAATCTTGCTATGTAGTTCAGGCTGACCTTGAACTCACAGAAATCCTGCTTCAGGCTCCTGAATGATGGGATTACAGGCGTGTACCACCATGCTCAACTACAAAGATAAATTTTTGTTTCTTTGGTTATTTTTGGCTTTGTCAAGATTTATGACATCCACATTCTGTTGTGTAACAAAGTGGCTGAATCATGGTCCTGTATCAGAGAAAACTATCAAAGCCACACACACACACACACAGTTAAAAATAATCAAAAGAAAAACTGCTGCTGCCCTCCACCCTGGTCCTTGGGAAAAACAACATTTAATTTCTCTTTATTTCTGGTCATTATCTCAGTATCTCTGTGATATGCTTACACCACTACTTGATTTCTAAAACAGAAGCTTTATCTACTGACTTCCTCCCAAGACCAAGGAGGACTTAGGTACTAGACATCTCTGGTCACCCTTATAGTCATATATCTAATTATAGTTTCTATTTTGTTATTACATTTGTGGTCTTCAATAATGTTCTTGAACTTCTTGTGCTACTGATCATGGACAGACTTCTTGACTCTACCTTGTGAAATAAGCAACAGGTCCCTCTCATTTTTCCTCTGTGTAAAATTTTATGTTTAAATTATTAAAACTTAGAACATCTGCTTCCTTTTTTATCAAGACATTTGAGTCATCTGTGTTCTCTTCCTAGGATGATCATAAAAGATAGAAACAACAAATATCTACCCAGAAGTGGGCTACGATTGTATTTTATTCTCTACAGTTCCAAAGCCTGATCCTGTGCCACTCAAGGATTCTCCTTTTAGTCACTCTACTTATTGCTAAAATTAAAACACATTTTAATATGCTTCAGAACTGGAGGGCTTTTCATAAAAAATGTGTTTATTCCCTACTGCTTCTGCTTATTTTGGATTTTTCTTAGTGGGAGGAGCATTTATGTCTCTATCATTTGGCTTCCTACTCATTCTGACACCTGCTTTACGTTTGTAATACTCTCCTCATAGCCCACAGACTTTCTGTTCTAACAAGAAGACAGCGACTTCCCTGCATAGCTTCCCATGTTTTAGCTCCTTTTTCTTACCCTCAAGCTCTTCTAAAATTTTTTCATTAGTACATGTTTGCAGTACATAATGATTATAAATACTCACAATGGGGAATTGGTACACGTATGTAACACACCTCAATTCTTTTTTCCCCCTCTTACCCTCCACCCCTTTTTTTTCACCAGCATCAGATTCATTTATTTATGAGTCTTATACAGTTAACTATCACATATACAGATTAACCTCCAGACCAACAGACCAAAAAATATAAAATACAGAATGTAATCATACTAAATCAAGGTATACTTTTAGATATATCCATGCTGGATTTTAGATATAATCTATGCTGGGTTACACTAACTTTTTTTTCTATTATTTGTCTTTTATTTTATACTTTATGTCTTCTCATACAAGAGAAATTATATTTAAGCTTGTGTGACTGATTTACTTAACATTATGGTCTCCAGGTGGATCCATTTTCCTACAAATAACTCATGTTTATCCTTCTTAATTGCATAGTATTCCATTGCATATAAATATATTTTATTCATCTGTATTCATCTATTGATGGACATTTAGGCTGCCTCTAAGATTCAGCTATTATGGAATGTGCTGCTGTAAACATGGGTATGTACACATCACTGTGGAATGTGGTATGATGTCTTTAACTCTTGTAAAGATATCTAGAAGGAGAATAGCTGGGTTGAATGAAATTTATATTTTTAGTTTTTTGAGGAATTTCCATACTGATTTCCATAGTAGTTGTACTAGTTTACATGCCCACCAACAATGGAGAAGGATTCCCTTTTCCTTACAGTCTCTCCAAGTATTTGCTATTGTTTGATTTCCTGAAGATAGCCATTCTTTTTGTGGTTGGATTATATCTGTGTTGTTTTAATTTGCATTTCTCAAACAGCCAGCAATGTTGAACATTTTTTTCAAGTATTTATGTGCCATTCGTACTTCTTTGTCTAAGAAGTGTCTATTTGTTTCAGATGACTCCCCACCCTGTTTTTTTGTTTTGTTTTTGAGACAGGGTCTTGCTATGTACTTCAGGTTGAACTCATTGTGTAGCCCAGGCTGGCCTCGAACTTGCAGCTATCCTCCTTCCTCAATGGTGTGAGTGCTGGGATTATAGGCATGGGTGCTCATTTTTTTATTCAGTCTTTAATTTAGGGGGGGTTTATGTTTTTCTGATTTCCTTCTATATCCTATATAGTGGCCCTCTGACTGAGGAGTAACTGGGAAAATTTTTTCCTGTTCTGTAGTTTGTCTCTTCACTCTGTTGGTGGTTTCCCTTGCTGTACAGAAGATTTTTAATTTGATATGATTCCATTCGTTGATTCTTGTTATTATATCTTGTGCAACTAGAGTTCTGTTCAGAAAATCTTTACACCTATGTCTTCAAATATTTTACCTATTTTGTTTAGATCTTTGATCCATTTTGGTTTTAAGGTTAGTGCATAGTGAGAGATGTGAGTCTAGATTCCATTTTCAGCATGTAGATAGCCAATTTTCCCAGAACCATTTGTTCCTACCCTCAAGTTCTTACTAATAGTATCATTCAATAAAATCCTTTAGGCCCAAAGTCCTCCGGAACCTGTATTACTCTTTTGATTATATTCTTGTCTCAATTGAGTATATTCTTGGGCTTCCTTTTTGAGAAAGGATGCATTTAAGGAAACATTTTCTGCATCCATTCATATGTCACAATCTCTCTTTTCTCATCCTACTTGTTTAACAGTTTGGCTAGACAGAGAATTCTGCAATGAAAATAATTTTTCCTTAGAAGGATACCGGCACCATTCCACAGTCATTCAGCTCTAGTTTGTAGCTTCCTTTCAGATTCTCTCTGGCTATTCTGACATTTCTTTGGACAGACGGATTTAAGAATCAGTTGGCCATCCTCCCCCACCTCCATAATTAATTTCAAAACCATTAGGACTTATTAAAATTTATACTGGCATATTAAGTATAATTGAGAGACAAAAATATTCTACATATCCATGTTTTATGTCCTTCAATAGAATTTCACAATTTATTCATTCAGATTTTATACATAATCTGGGCATAGTGGTGCCCTGTAGTTTTATGATAGTCACAATATAGTGAGAGACCACCACAGGAAAAAAAAGGACAAAGAAACCCCAGGCCCTTAATCTGTTACTCATTAAAAATATAATTTTTTTTTAAGACAATCATGGGCTTAAAAGCAGTTTTTGCTAAAACCATGACTTCATTTGGGCCTAAAAATGCCTGATAAAGTAACTAAATGTAGAATAAAATCACATTCTTCTCAGCTCTCCATATAGGTTGTTAATAATTTAGAGAATGTCTGCCAAAAGCTGACAGAACAAAATTTACCTGGCCTATCTCATTCCCCTTAAAGATGGAAGACACCAAGATAAGCGTAACTAAAGTAATTTCCAGGATTCTGAGGGACATCTAATCACCAGCTTTTCTTTATACTGTCCAATTCCGGGCCCCTCCCCAAAAGACTTGCTCAGAAGTCTCTGGCCATTATCCTGAAATGGTAGTCCCAGGAGAAACAGCTTTACAAGACTGAAACAACCACAGAGGCAATCATTTCATGAGAACAAAACTGTTCCTTTAATCATGAGGATTCCTCCAGAGCTACGAAACCAGGATTGAAAAAATGCTGGCTATGACCCTGGTCCATTTCGGCCATTCTGGCCTCCTGCTGTTGTGTGGGGGCAGGTCAGGTCCTCTTCATCAAAGTTTTCCCCCCTGAAAATCTGTGTTTTAGTTTTTAATTCCCATTATCACTAGAACAAGGACCCATGATAATTAGGCATTGACAGTCCCAGGTACTCAGAATATAACTGTGAAGTTAAAATAGATCTTTAAAAGTAAGATTTTTTTTTTTTTAAAGGACATAGACTTACTTCTCTACCTTCTTAATGCTAAGAGTGTTAACTGCCATCTCTAGCCCTGCTGCCAAGGAGGATGCAACATTTTCAGCCCTTTGGGCCAAAGCTTGGCTAACTATGTATGGATATTTCCTGGCTCTGTCTATAAAGTGGAGTGCTTCTGTGCAATGGAGGCAAGGGAGCTAGCTGTACTCCCAATTTGGCCAAATTGTGAATACATAATTTTTTTCATTTTTATGGGCTTTTCTTGTACTCTTGGTGGTGGGCAGGGGAATGAACCTAGAAGGCTGAGATCCACGCTCAGGCCTGATCAGACCCCTACCAGTACAAGACAGGCTGAAGAGGGAAGAACTGCTAACAGTCCAGGAGTTCAAAGCCAGCCCAGGCAACATGACAAAATCTCATCTCTTAAAAAATTCTTTTATACATAATTTTTAAATTTTTCATTTCTCCCATAGCTTTCACTCTGCTGTCACCTGAACATCTGGATCCAAGAACAAGGGGCCGCCCTAACACCGAAAACAACTCTGATCTAGAAATCAGGTCAGAGAAGAAAACTAAAGACATGGCCATGTACATTTTCTTCCTGTTTGTGGTCAAGGCCTTGGGAAGCTGTTCATCTGTGGTGATGCTGCCTGTCACCAGCCCTCTTTCGGGAAACTACTGAAGATGGACTGAAAGCCTCAT